ATTAATCATTCTTGATTTTAGTCAAGACCATTTACGTATGCCTATACTGCAATGGCAGCCCAGGAGTAACAGAACTCGAATTAGCACCCTCTGGTTTTCTTAAGTTATAGCTTGAGCATCTATACTTATTTGTAACTCCAGTTTAGGAATTGTTGAACTCTAGGTCCCAACCATCTAGGCTGCATCATGTGGATCTTAGTGACCAAGATTTCCTAGCACTTCCCCAAAGAGTGCATGCTCTAGTCCTTTGTTCGTGGTACAGCATGGGAAAACTTGACCAGCCATCCAACTCGACTGCCCAGAGGACAAAAAGTCAGCCTGTGGGATTGTGCGTTACTTTAGAAATGTCACTAAACATAAGTTCTGTGAGACTGCATCTGTGCTGCCAAGCAACAGAGTTCAACCCTGGATCTCTTTTTGACAGCTGTGAAATGGGTTTTGGAGAGCTGAGGAATTAAGACATATGGAAACCCAGTGCAACAGCCTTCTTTGGGTTTTTAAAAGAAACAAGACCCTAGTCTTCTAAAACCAGGAAGTTCATGTGCTTATTTAAATCACGGTATCAACATTATGTTCACCATGGATGGATTTGGCTCTATATTCACATATGTAAAGAATTAATTCCTCCACCAGTAGGATAGCCAAACCCACACTACAAATCAGAGATTCACTCTCACCTATGTAAATATAGTCTCAACAACCTCTATCCCTTGTGCAAGCACTTCACATCAGTGTTTCTCAACCAGTGATATGAGTATCCTTAGAGTTCTTGAGAGAAGTCTGGGGGGTACAAAAACTGAAATTTGGAGGAAGCTGAATTTTTGTTTTAAGTTTTACAGAGCTTTATTATTTTTTTACTTTTTAAAAGCAAAAATTTCATTGTCTGCCCAGCTATAATTATGTTGTTTAAACAAATGTGTTGCAATGCTATAAAAAAAATAGTGTGTCTGAAAACTGTAGATATTGGGGGGTACTTTTTTTTTAAAGGGGTACTTTATATAAAAAGGCTGAGAAACACTGCTCTACATCACTTGACAACAGCTGGAAGAAAATTTCATGGGATGTATGAAACAGCAGTATTTTCCTTCATGACATTCAATTAACATAGGAGAATTAATTAAGTAACCAGATATACTGGCAGAGAAACATAAACATTCTCCTATATTCTATGCTGGGTATTCCTTAGTGCAAACAAGAATGTATTTTTAGTTTAATTTACTAAAAAAAACAAACAAAACAAAACGTTCTGAAGCATTGGATTTTCTCTCCACACTGGGAAAACACTGTAAATAATAAGAGTGACAGATTCTGTTGATGAAAGTGGCACATTAAACAAACCTCTCTTTCAAGTGCCGACTGTAACATTCAGGTTGTGGATTAGTCCTGTCTGATAATATATTTACATACCATTACTTACCTTTGCCTATCTGTCAAATATCTAGTTGAAACCATCCAAATAATTAATTCCATACTTTCTTTGATATCTTGTGTAACAAACATCAAAAGGATAATTAATACAGCAATTACATGCTTGTTAAAATACTCAAGTAAATTAAACAGAAGTACACTTTTTTCTTCAATAAATATAATCTCCTTGATATAGCAGGACTAACAGACCTATAAACGAAATATTTGGGAGAGAAAGAGCTTTTCATAGTATATAGACTGTGACAGCCAATAAAAGACTTAATCACCAGTGGGATTACAAGGCAAAAAGATGGAGAAAATGAAGAACTAAAACAACAGTTGGTGCCTTTTAAAGGGCACATCACAACTTTATGTTGCAAAACAATCTCCCAGTTAGGCTAAAATAGATGCCATAGAGGCTTCCTATGAAAATCGTTTCAAAGAATTCAAGTAGCGGAGAGCCATGACATAGCTAGTTAACATTTGAAGCTATTTCGGTTCATTAAATTTAGTCATTAAGTTGGTTATATTGACACTACCAAACTATACTAGTGTATTCTACAATTTCTTACAAAATTTAAGACTAGTTGTCATAAAATACATATTTTATTTCTAACTGCTGTGAAGTCATTACTTCAAATTTCGCAGCTCTCTCTCAATCTGGAAACATTAAGGTAAGAACAGGGAGTTGGCCTGACAAATTTAGCTTCTGATCTTAGGACCATGGGGGGCAATGGATGCCAGGTTTAGAGCGGTTTAATTTCAGAAATTCAGGTTAACATGATTGTGCCATTTTGTAATACTGAGCTTTTAATGTAATTATTCCAGTTTTAGTCTTGCTTAGCAATACTTATCAATTTGAAAAGGCTTTCATAGAGGGCAGAGAGACTGTGCTAACAAATCACATAGCAGATTAAGGTAACAGAAGAGAGAATTCATTCTTAGGAGAGACACTTCATATAGAGGGCAGAGAGACTGTGCTAACAAAGCACATAGCAGATTAAGGTAACAGGAGAGAGAATTCATTCTTAGGAGAGAGACTTCATGTTTTAACGTCCCCTGCCCTGTTTTATTCACTATTTTTGTAGTTTCACCCTAAAAAGTGTTTTTCCACTACTGATTGTTCATTTCCCAAATGTTACTCTCCTCATCTATCCAAAGCTTTCAACAAGGTCTGATCCATCTAGCAGACTGGGATTACAGCCAACATTGGGAGAAAAATTAAACAACAAAACAAACACAAATTTTGGAGTGGTATTAGCTCAGTGTAGCCGAACAACCAGCAGGGGGAACACAAGATACTCTTTTTCTGTAGGGGATGAATATAATGGCAACTGTTGTTTTGGAATCATAATGTCATTTGTTTTCTAAGGACTCTCCATGTTAGATAGATAGTTATAAAATAGATTAAAGCATGGTTGCACAGTACTAAACATTTTTATATATTTTCCATATTTAAAAACATTAAATAAAAAATTCAGAACATACTTAAGCGATACTATATTATAGGGGGTTGTCACATGAGATATTTCCATATTTCCAACACATCCAAAGTTCTTGAAAATGTATACCCAGGTTAAAGACTAGAAACTATTCCTTTACCAAACCTCCTCCATATTCCTAAGAGTCAAACTCAACTTATTTGGTTACAATATGTTTGTTGCATTAAAATTATGGACAGCTGGATCCATATTTCAGAAGATTACGTTAGAATAAGTTTGATGGTTCTGTATTACCTGTTAGTGTCTTCTGATTGTTCTGAAAGTGAACATTTAGCCAATATCCATTTTTCTTCTTTTCTATGTACTCACGGAGTACTGACTGAGCTGTGCAATTCTTCCTTGAGTAAATCTAACTAAAAGTGGTAACAGTCTGAATGAAGTTGGTGAGTGCGTGAGTTCTTGGACTTCTTGATTTAAAAATCTACAGTTAAGACCCACTGTCCATTTCAATAGTACCCTTTTTCTCTAACTCTAAACTGAAACCTGAAAGCCCTACCCATGAAATATAGACTAAAAGAGCCTTCAAAAATATTTAACTGCAATTTGAGAGAGTGTTGTAAAAATTTAGACTTGCTCATTTGCACACTGTTCACACCAATAAGGAAGCTACACAAAAGTTGATAAAGTTACTTCAATTGTACCAGTTGCGGGTCTCGTTCTCAGTAAATACTACCCAACAAATTAGGACTTAAAAAGTAAGTAGATTTTTCAGTTGGCAGAATTTTACCACCGAAGAACACACAACAGTTTAATATAATCAAGTTATGATTACATTGTATGTGCACTCCTCCAAATTCAAATGATAACCCTACATAAGGCAATGCATTGGAGCATAGTTTTGCAGATATTTGTACCTGCTGCCATGAGCATAGATACCGCTGTCTATGTTGCAAGTGAGGCTGGGGAATAACTAGATTGTTTCTGAGGGGAGAAGGCTGAATAATCCTTCCCACTGGTAAATAATACAATGTATTGATATAGTGATTCTTTCCACCATTAAATATTGCCACAAACATCAGTTAATATTGAACAAAGAAGAAAGCGATTAATTAGAGTATTATAAGCCATGCTCTGGCATGCCACGCTCCATCGGGAGGGTTTATAGTAATAATTTACTGATATTTTATCTCTCTGGATCTCTGTCCAAGAAAAAAGGAATAGCTAGATTCATTTTAACTGTGGCTAAAATTAAAACAATGGTTAAATCAGACACTACTGCTGTTGCATGACATTATTAAGTCATCAGATAACTCAATCATTCCTTCACAACAGTTTCACAGATATGGACTGCAAAGCTCCATTGTTGTATGACTATCTGATCTTGTATTGCCTATGGTAGTAGCCATATGTTTAGAAACACGCTGCCAGGAATTCCATCAGCAGGTGTGACAAGGAAAGTAGAGTTCCTGAAGCAACAAGTCAGTGAACACAGGCCTTTTCTATTTCCAGGACCCAATTCGCACTGTTCCATAATTACCATAATGGCTAGATAATTGGGATGTGAATGGTTAACTGGTAAGCATCACCTTCACTGGGTGATAGTTACCAGTTACCGTTAACCGGTGGTCCAGCTGCACCATGGCATGGGTGGGGGTTGTCCCTGTTTAATTGGTTATCTATTCAAACCTATTGTTTGATGGGTTAACTTACTGAATGGGATTTTACATCACCAAGCCTAATAAATACAATTCAAAAATCCCAAGGTCACCACATTACAAGATATACTTTGCCCAATTGTTCTGATATATGTAAATTTGTTTTAATTGCTTCAATTGTAAAATTTCATTATTTGTTTCAGTACTTTATAGCATGCTAGAAAGGTTCTGTAGAATATTTTGCAAGAGAAAAGAGATCGAATTCTTGCAAATATTGCAAGAGGAAAGGGGCATTAGTTATCTTTTAAGTAAAATATATAATGTAAATACCTAACCTGTTGGTTATTCTCACAACCACCTGAGTCCTGCACTACTTTTAAAGTGGCAAGTCAGTCAATTGACTTCAGTGAAATGCCTGTAATTTTGAGTGTGCTAAGTTATTGTGAAACACGAAGGAATGCATTTTACCAATTTCTCATACTAAAACAGGTCTCACCTTTGGCCCATGAGATGATTTTTTCTTTACTTCAGAAGAAGACAGGGAGTGACTAGGTAGGTTGGGGAGATGAAGGCTCTGTCCTGTAGAGATTGATGTGCCATCTGACATTACCATGATCTGTCACAAGAAAGGGAAATTAATGTATTGGTCAAATATGATAAAATACTATGTAAGGAATTAGCCATCATTTTAGGAGTAGAGACACTGCAAAATCTCCAACATAAACAGCAACCTGCTCTGTAGGTAGTAGCTTATTTAAGAAATTCCCATCCTCCAATCCAAAATGCTGAGATTGATGCAAGCAAGCCTCCCTTCAAAAACATATACAGTTTATTCTATTAGAGCACTTTGTGTACATAAACCCAGTGAAAAAAAAAATCTGATCTCTTCTTGGTTAGGATTAAAACCCAATTTGTACCTCTAAAAACATGTCCTCTATGGAATAAAACACTTTTGAAAGAAATCAGGTTACTGTATGTGAGGCAGAAAAGTCTGCACTTACTTCTGTCTTAGCAAGCAATACAAATATCAATCTGATTTAGGAATCTTGACCACTGATTAAAGTGATGCAAGATGTACTGATGATGCAATTTGATTAATCAATTTAGGAACAGAAGGAATTAAATGGCTTGGTGCTAAAATCCTTTAAGGAAGTGTGACTGTTTCCAGTGGGAGCCAACTAAGTGCACTCAATTAGGGTTAACTGCAAATACAATGGGGCCGACAAATACCAAAAGCTGTTGGATATTCCACTATTTAGACTTGCCATGCCAGCACAAACGTTTCTGTCCTACCTCGCTGATTACTCAGAAGTCCAAACAACACAGTTCCCTTGAATTACCAGACACAGGCCTCCATCCAGACACCCAAGTCAAATATGACGACAATTACTGAAAATCGTATTTCATCATATAAAAGAAAAGCTTCTTCTGATCCCAAAGGATCAGTCACATGACCGGGTCAATGTACAACTCGCATTTTATTCAAAAATACACTTTTATACCCAATTCTTTATTACTGGTTTATTTATCAAAAGGAAGGGTGAGAGGCGAAATTATTAAAGAAGCCAAATATATAAAACGATTGCAAAGTTCTTGGTTCAGGCTTGTAGCAATGATGGAGTAAACTGTTGGCTTAAGTTGTCTCCAGTTACTTGCAAGTCATTGGAAGGACCTCACTTCTAGAACGCTCCCACTGGCATAAATCCACAGTTCAGAGGCTTCAACAGTAGTGATGCTGGAGCAGGAAAAGAGGTCAAATGGTTGAGCTCCCAGGGCCTTTTATATCTTCTCCCATGTGGAGGGACTCCCATTGTTCTTACTATGGAAAAGTACAGCAACATGATTGATGGTGTCCAGTCACACGAACTATCATATGGGCAAATCACCTATCCAGTTCTTTGCAGGTAGAAGCCTTTGTCCGCAAGCTTGTTTGAGAGTTCCAGGAAGACTCATCAGATGTGGAGTGGCATCTTTCAAGGCCCACTGCCAATCAATTACTACTGTTTAACTTAAATAGTCCTTTCACAATATATTGGCCAAACCTCCCCTTCGAGTTTCTCAGCAGCAAACATTTGAAATCAAGATTTGAGCACTACTTAACTTCAAATAGAAAAACGATACAGATGGCATAATCATAGCCAGAGAATTATAAGCTTTTCATAGACAACTCATTTGCCACACTTTGTACAAAATTTGCTGCCAATATCAAAAAGTAGTTGCGACTGTGATCGATGTGATAATATTTTAATTCAATAAGATCACAGAGAGAGAATCCATATTCCTAGTGAAGTAGGCAAGATGCATCTTTGCTGACTACAAAGATGGTCTGATCATGGAGGGTAGATATAATTGTGAAACAATCTACTTGCTAAATATAATGTGATAACCACCAATACGGTAGCATCTTAAGGTCCTTTTGCAATGAAGCAACTGTGACACTAACTACAGTAAAACTCCAATAGTCCAGCACTCCTGATAGTCTGGCATCAATATAGCAAGAGCCTAGTGAGTGAGCTTCGGCAAAAAATGAGTCACTAGGTAACAGCAGCAGCAGCTGAACTGAACGAAAAGGGTAAAAAAGGGTTAAAAAAACTAAAACATTACAGTATACTGTATACAGAATGTACAATAAAAAGGGTTAAGAACACTTTATATACAGTATATACATAACCAGCTTATAGTACCTCCCGATACTCCGGCATATCTGATAATCCGGCACCACCTAGGTCCCATAGGTTCCGGATTATCAGAAGTCTACTGTACATTGAAGTATTAAAACTACTGGGACATGAATCCAAGTCAGGTGTTAAGGGTCAACTGTAGTCAGTTGGAATACCACACCCGGGCAAGAGCTGAAACCTTAGAACTATGGTCCTACACATTGATGGGTAGGGTAGGAAAAAGCTTTGGTTATCCAATCTCTTACCGCGACATTGATGAAGTTACATAGGACAACTAGGTAGGGGTGATCGTGGGTGATTTCCACTTACTTTTTCTTCTACCTTTGCTTCTAAAGGCATCCATAAAAGTTGTAACAATGCGCAAGCTATGATTTTAAGTATTAGCACTGCAGGAAATCACACTATTATACTTACCTTCTATTTATACTGATTTTTCTACCATTTTAACTGCACTTGTCTGTAACTCAAGAGCATAAAGTATAAGTGCTTCACCAATTTAATCTTCTTAATTAATTCTAAATAGCCACCTGAAAAAGTGCCTTTCATTTGTGCATCTGGTCCATCCGGTCAAGTTGGCAACCAAGCCACAACTGGAGGTGGCTAGAGCCGGAGGACAATGGGATCTTGGGCGGTTGCAAAGTCAATAGACCATCGTAACACCAGGGGGTCTGCCTGGAAGCTGCGACTTGGGGTTGGCACAGCTGGTGGCAGATCAGCAGTGGGGCTGTTCCCTGGGTGCAGGGAAACTGAATGCAAAACCTGGGGTGCTGCTGCACTCCCCACATTGCTACTTTCCACAACTATGTGTTACATGAAAAATCTGATGAGATTTCTGCTGCTAAGCAGAGTTCTGAGCTGACCCCAGGCTCCATGCAATGCTGCCGCTTAGAAACTCCGCGGGGAACACAGGACCTGCAGGGGGACTCCTGGTGGCTGTTGCTATACTTCAAAGGCAGAAGCGTCTTTTATGACCAATCGAATAGTCAATGCGAATTGCACCGACTATTTGATTAGCGCAATAATGGATATTTTACATCCCTAGTTAGAAGCGCATCTGTGGTACTAATAAGCTGAATGCTAGTTAAGTCTTTTGTCTACTGAGCCATTTTTTTCTCCAATCTAGGAGTATAATGCTGGAGAACTCACAATGCTCATTGAGGTTTCTCGTCAGGGAAACTTGCCATCATTATTTTTTATATTTTATATGCAACAAAATGGCAAATGAAATTTAATGTGGATAAATGTAAAGTAATGCAGACTGAAAAAAATAACTCCAACTATACATACAACATGATGGGGGCTAATTAGCTACAACTAATCAGGAAAGAAATCTTGGAATCATTGTGGATAGTTCTCTGAAGACGTCCACTCACTGTGCAAGGGCAGTCAAAAAAGCAAATAGAATGTTTAAAAAAGGGATCAAGAATAAGACAGAGAATATCTTATTGCCCTTATCTAAATCCATAGTATGCCCACATCTTGAATACTGCGTACAGATGTGGTCTCCTCATCTCAAAAAAGATATACTGGCATTAGAAAAAGTTCAGAAAAGGGCAACTAAAATGATTAAGGATTTGTAACACGTCCATATGAGGAGAGAGTAAAGCGACTAGGACTTTTCAGCTTGGAAAAGAGGAGACTAAGGGGGGATATGATAGAGATCTATAAAATCATGAGTGGTGTGGAGAAAGTGAATAAGAAAAAGTTATTTACTTATTCCCATAATATAAGAACTAGGGGCCACCAAATGAAATTAATGGGCAGCAGGTTTAAAACAAATAAAAAGAAGTTCTTCTTCACACAGTGCACAGTCAATCTGTGGAACTCCTTGCCTGAGGAGGTTGTGAAGGCTAGGATTATAACAAGGTTTAAAAGAGAACTAGATAAATTAATGGAGTTTAAGTCCATTAAGGGCTATTAGCCCGCATGTGTAAGGAAGGGTGTCCCTCGCCTGTTTATCAGAGCATGGAGATGGATGGCAGGAAAGAGATGGCTTGATCATTACCTGTTCAGTTCACTCCCTCTGGGGCACCTGGCATTGGCCACTGTCAGCAGACAGGATACTGGGCTGGATGGTCCTTTGGTCTGACCCAGTATGGCTGTTCTTATGTTCTTATAGCTCCAGGAATTAACTTCCACATCAGTCACCAGATGATGAAAGACCTCCATGGCACAGGAAAGGCCTAGAATAGCTGCTCTCTTTTCCTATCTGACATTTCCAGCAAGGTGATATCTTCTAATGTCATCACTGCCCAAACAATGTGAAGACCACCACTTCCTGGTGTGCTCGCTTTTACTTAACGTCACTGAAGACAAGTACAGGTTTTGGGGTGTTCTGTTTTTAATAACGGTATAATCATATCACAACAGTTTTAGAGCAGAGAAATGCAGAGAAACTGAGCCTACAGTGAGATAAAACTGGCAATTTCCCCACAGCTATGATGCAGAAAATTAAAGGGGAACATTTTCTCCCTTTTCTGCCCAGTAGGATGAGAAAGATAATGTAGTGTGTTATTGACTTACGGAGCCACCTAATTCAACTGAGATGAAGGGCCCAACCATTATCCCACTTCTGGGATGCCACTGATAGTCAGTGACTGGCGCAAGAACCTCTGGGGAATAACAAAGAGTTGAGAGATGCCGTGCTAGAGGAGATATGCAAGGACTTTGTCAGCATGTTGAACCAGCTCCTTGAGCAGGGCCTCCTCCTGGCTGCAGCTGAGAAGATGGTAGTGGACTATGTTGCTAGAAGGAACAGGAATGCAGCTGCAGCAGGTAACTGATGGAGTGGCTTTTTGCCATTATGGCTGGCAGGCAGTAAAAAATGCCAGTTCTGGGTGAGGTTCTGCAGGTCTTGATTAGAACTGTATGTGGGCAGATTACCCATTTTGCTCCTGTGCATCAATAATGGAAGAACAAGAAAACTGGTGATGGC